TGTCCTGTCAGTGCTGGGACCCTGTCCTGTCAGTGCTGGGGCCCTGTAAATGCTGGGGCCCTGTCAGTGCTGGGGTTCAGGCATCTGGCTTCCCCCACCCCCTAGAAGAACGGCACTTCTGGGCGGCCGGCCTGTTCCCTAAGCCTCCAGACACCCAGGAGCCTCCAGCTGCTCCCCACCGAGTCCAGAGCCCAGCGTTCCTAAGAGACCCAGAGGAGGAGGGCCGTCCTCCCTCAGACCGGGGCCCCGCATCCCCGGCCCTCCTCCCTCCGACCCGGGAGTCCAGCTCCTGCTCTCCCCCCTCGGACCGGTGTCCGCTCCAGCCCGGGAGCCTGGGCCGCCGAGCCTCCTCCCTCACACCCCGCTCCCGCGTGTTTCTCCCTCGGCCGCCCGCGAGCCCTCCCGCCCCCTCCCGCCCCCTCCCCGGGCTGGCGGAGCGGCCGGGCCCACCCTTCTCCCGGCTTTCACGGCGGCAGACGTGCCACAGGCCGCAGCCCAGCCCGCGTGCCCCGATGGCGACGGCGCCGTGCGCGCTCGGGAGGCACGGAGGGCGGGCCCAGCCCGGCCGGAGGCTCGAGACCCCATTGGCTGGAGAGGGCTCACCCCGCGCTCCCATTGGGCGGGCCGGGAGCATCCCCGCGTCTCATTGGTCCCCGGGGAACCAATCACTGGCCGCCGCAGAGTGCGCATGCGCGCGCGCGGAGGCGGCTGCTGCGGCCCGCGCGGTGTGCGCCGGGACAGCACAGGCTGCCCGCGCGTGCACGGAGCCCGCTCGCCCGCCTCGGGACTGGCAAACACCGACCTGCTGCATGACGGAGACCTCCGGGGCTTGCTCCCGCGCGCCGTGCTGCACGGGGCACACCGAAGCCCCAGCCCGTCGCGAGCACCCCACGCGCCGTGCACACGGCGCAGAACACGCACCGACTCCTGGCCTGTGTGTCTGGGGCGGTCGTGCTAGGGACCTCGGGCTGGCACTGTCACCCCTTGCTGCCCGGGCGCCCACACACCTGTGCCTCCATGTTTAGCTGCAGGAGCCTCTGCACTCAGCCTGCTCCAGAGAGGACAGCCTCACAGAGCCACACATGGGATAGTAAAGCCGCTGCTGTGTCTCCAAGTACAGGGTTCTCTGTGGGAGGTGGGGCTCTGTGTGCTCCCTGGGCGCCTCGCTGACGGGGCCTGGCCTCTGTGGTGCACTGTGACAAATTTTTCCTGGGGAGACTCTGTCAGGCCCAGCAGGAGCCTAATCTCCAGGGAGACAGATGAAGGGAACTTGGAGACCGGATCGATGCAATGGCAAGAGGTTTATTCAAGCCACTGCGCGGTGTGGCTGCCCCCAAACCAGCGAGGAACAGCCCCAAGAGACAGAAGCCCGGGGTTTACAGCCGCGAGGGACAGAAGCCCGGGGTTTACAGCCCCGAGGGACAGAAGCCCGGGGTTTTTAAAGGAAAAAAAACTTGCAACTCGGGAGTTGCAAGCTTGGCAACACTGGATTGGGTAGGTAGTTGACTTTTAAAATGATTGGTCTATTTTAGGTGCCAAGTCCAGTCAGTCCCACCCCCGGTTGCCAGGCAACGTTACTGCAGATCTGGCCCTTCCTCTGCATCGGGGTGGAGACCTTTGGCATTCCTTTGCAACAGGGTGGGTCTTGTTTCAACTCACTCGCTTCTCCTTTCATCCTGCTTTCTGGAAAAGTACTGGGAGAACTTAGTTTAATATGGGGTATAGAATTTATAAAGAAACCTGTAAAGTTAACTTGTTCCTTTCATTCCCCCCTTCTTCTAGTAATGAAGCATCTATGATGCTTCAATCATGAAGCAGCTATGGGGTGAAGGTTTGTTCTTGGGGTGCCCCCCTTGTTTAGCATCTCAGCCTGTAAGGTGGGACTTGGGGTCGAAGAGCTGTCTTCTGGAGCTTCTTCAGTGCTGACCATTGGACCGTTGCCATCACTCGCTAGGGAGGCTGAAATGCTAAATCAAAGGCTGGACAATGAGGCAGTCCTAAGCATCTGGTTAGTTGATCCAACTGAAGAAACGGGGAGCGATCTTGTCAGCTTTCAGCATGTCCAAATTTCAGCTGATCCAGGAGTAGAGTCAATCAGGTGCAAATCTGCTAAGACAAATTCAGACTAGAGACAGAAGTTAAGATTTTTATATTAAATGGGAAAAGTGAGGAATCCCAAGACCAGGGAAAAAACTCATCTGGGATCTGTTTGAGCTATGCCAGGTCCAGGTCTCATGACTTTTTGATTTCCTGAAACATTTTTTTTTTCTGAAACATTTTTTTTCAGGATGACTTTTTGATTTCCTTTTTGGTACACAAAAGGAAATATATATTAAAAACCTCAGAAAAGCAACATATCAGCAAATCTAATATAACAACGTTCTGAGAGTAACAGGTAAAACTAGATCCAACGGAATGGGCACCAGTCAGCTGTTTGTTTTGTATCCTTTATAAACAACTTAAGTGTGTCCACAGTCTGAAACTCTTATCATTTTAACTGTGGGTCCTGTTGGTAATCAGCCATCAAAGGAGCTCAGCCACCTTTTATACATTTAGCCTCTGCTTTTAGCCTCCATCTCCATGTCATATTGGAAAGTTAGACAGAAATGCATATTGGCTTTACTGCTAAACCCTGGATGCTTGGATTTTTCTTAACACAGCAGCTGGAAGGAATAGGCTAAAGGTATTCCTGTGTCAAAGTCTATCTCAGAAATGGCAGATATTAAGAATACCATAGTAAAAGCTATGGCTTTTGGGTCAGGTAAACATATTAAACAGATGTTTTTAGAATGATGAGAAGCACCTTTAAATCTATCGTCAGAAAACAACCAAAGGAAATTAAAATCTCAAGCTTGTAAGTGGTTAATAAGCAGTCAGTGCTACATTAACTTATCAGAACTCTTGATAAATGCCAAAATTCTGATCTTCTGAAATCTTATAACAACATAAGCACAACAATAGCAAAGAGGGAGAGAGAGGAATTTAAAATATGTACCAATTTTAATATGCCTTAGATTATTTTTATATTTTTATAATTTATATTTATATATCTTAAAATATCTATTTAGATTCTCCAGTCTTTCTTGCATTTATCAACCCTGAAACATTTTCCCAGACCAAATAATATTCTCTAGATTCTCATAACCTAAATTTCTATATCCTCAGACCCTACATAAGCTCCATATCTTTTTATCCAGCTATTCATTGTAAGACACAGGCAACTAACATGAAGCCTGTGAGCAAGGCAAACCTGTTTGCCTTTTTAAATAAGAGATCTAGTACCTAGTAGTTCTAACTAGCTAATGAACTGTCCAATGAGCTAACAGTGGATCTAATTTTCTGCTCTTTAGCTACAAAGTTACCATTAGCTTAGCTTAGCCATCAATGTGATCAGAGACCTGAGGAGGATAGATTATAAGATAAATAAATATACCAGTCCATGTACCAATCAAAATGACAGAGATGGTTAGTTACTCTATCACTTAGGCAGTGTCCCTGGCTCCTGTGGTCTCATGGCATCATGAGCAGAGGCAATCCAGCCAGGCACAGATGAGAGACTGCTTCTGTGGCAAAAGGAACACAAGAGATTGACCTCATCTCCCGCAATGTGAAACAATGACTCTCCAGGTGTCCACAGCTTTGTCCACAGTTTAGGCTGGGCCCTAGCAGTGGGCCAGTTGAGGCAGTTTCACCCAGTGGTTAGCATACCACAATCCAGAGTTGCAGTCGTCTGTGGTGCCCAAATCTTCTCAGAGACTTTGGGGAGCTACTGCCACAACTGGGACTCTCTGTCACAATAAGCTTACACATGTTAAAATGCCATATTCATCAGATCTTTGACAAGCTTGAGGGCCAGCATATCTGAGTTACTCTTTGTCTATCTCTATCATCTGCTCTAAACTATATCCTATAAAACAAAATGCTATAATCTCTAATCCTGGCATGTTTTTTAGAAGCATGTTTTAGAACTATATTTCAAGTAGATCTACACAGGCAAACTTTAGTTACCTGTTCTAGGCTTAACCTTAAAAAAACCTAAACAAAGACTAAGTAAGGCTCAATTTTGTACTCAACTGCAGTCCTTAGCTTAACTGTAGACCTGTTCTTTCTGAACTAAAATCAAAGCAAAACTTTTAACCAGATACAGTTCATAGAGGGGCTAGCAAATCTTGCTGATCCTACCACTTGCATTAAAATTGAATGGCAAAAATCTTTGCACTTAGCACTAATCAGAGGATTAAAGACAGCTAGTAGCCCTAAACTAAGATGGCGGCAAAGCTATGGCTCTTTTCCTGAACCAACATGGTGGATACCCGCGGGTTGTCACAGGCTGTGGCTGAAGATGTAAAGCTGTTAGGTGTAGCTGATGGCATTGTTACCTCCTACGATACAGCAAGCTCTGTGGAACATTCACAGTTTTCCGTAACCAACTACACAACAGAACAGTATAGAACAATTTTAAACTGTATGAGCTATTCTAGCCACACCAAACCTATCAGCCAGATTTTTTTCCTTTAAAGAGCATAAAAAAAACATTTTGCATTGAAGAATCACCAGCCTTTTAAATGAAGAACAACGTATTTTATGGGTTTTTCACAAATCATATTTGCAGGTATAAAGAATCAAAGCAAATACATTTCATATGCCCTCTAGCTTTTTATACATACACTCATACATACACTCATACATACATACATAACATTTTATATACCTTTAGGCTAGCTTTTCCTAGCTCTGTTCTTCTGCTTTAACTAGACATCTTTACTTTAGGCAGGCTATTTTTTTTTCTTTTGTATCCCAGTCTCTTGCTTTTCAGACTTCATAAAAACTCCCATCAAAATCCTTTCTGTCCTGACATGATACTCATTGAGCCCAGCATAGGCTTATTCCATGATTTATTTTTTATAGGCAAAGCAAAACCAAGTC